ATTACATAATAGTAATATTTTTGATTTTGACTAAATTATATTTATTTTCAAGAGCACTTGTTTAAATATTGGAAAGATTTTTTAATTTATGGAGATCGTATGAATTTTCGAAAGTCGGCAATCGATTTCAGCCAGGGAGATTTTGAACTTTTTTATTTTTTTTTTTTATTTAAATTTTTAATTTTTGTACATTTTTATTATTTTCAAAATAATAGTTGGAACCTAAAACATTTGTGTGGGGTTTTTGGATACAACAATATTAAAAATTGTTCAATTTTAAGCCACTAAAAGTGTTCGGTTTTGTTCTGTACTTTCAATTGTGCGGTTTTAGAAATCGACGATTTTAAAATATATGTTATTATTTTTATACTATTATAAGAAATTTCGGATTAAATATTCCTTACAAATAAAATAAAGTACCCAAGATAAATAATAAGAGGATGTTTTATTATGGTTGGTAATTGCGATGTATTTAAAACCCGAAGAATGGTTATCATCAGTTAATTTTATATTTAATATTTTGCATATTTGATCATTGATTATGATTGATTATGGATGTCACAGTACTCATAAATCAGGTCAGTACCTTTAGATACTTATCATTATGTTTTCCACTGATTCGTATACTAACATTTATAACATTATAATTTTTTAATCAGTTTTAAATACAAAATATTTAGCATATGATTTTTTATACTATTATTTTATGAAAACAATAAATAATTTAAACAAATATTTACCACATTTTTAATTCAATATATAGTTATAGTTATTATAAACTTTAATAAAATAGTAAAATTATTCGTACGATAAACATACACTACAGAGTTAATTAAATAAACAAAATAAATGTACCTAACAAACTAACAACCGTAAATTATTAAAGCTTATGTGTTTTTTACATAATTGGATTATTCACATATATTCGCGTAAACAATTCAAATGCCAATTTTCAATAATTAGCTAAATTTGATAGAAATAAATTCTTTTCATTTTTGTATGTTACACTAAGATTATATTGCGGTTGACAAATTGTATCCAATTTGATTTTGTTCTTGAGGATTACAGGCGAATACTGTACAAATATATAGTGCCCAATTTTTATTAATACTTGTATGTTATTATATTTTTGTTGCATGTCAAGTGCATATTTTTCAATAAATTTTATGTAATATGTATGTGTTACAGTGTATATTTTTTTTCACAAGAGTGTTGAATATTATAGTGATTTTTGTTGACACCTACAACTAATAATAACAATCGTAATGCAAAAATATGTCTGCAATGACTGTATAAGTAATGCTAAAACTTATTCCACTACCAGAAACAAATACAACGACATTTTTTTTAACTTAAGCTTGTCAGTTGAGCGTAAAAGACCTTTTGGTCTTATAACAGTAAATGCTTTTCCCTCTTCGGAAACTGTTATTGGAACATTTAGAGTGCTGAGAGTTTTTTCACTCTTTTTATTTCAAATGGCAATTTAACAGAATGGATTCCAAATTATTTTTTAGTAGTTGACTTTTTAACATGATCAGTTGTCAAAGTTAATACTTAAATTTCATCGATTTTTTGTTAATTATGATTACTTCGATAACTATTAATTAAAAAATTAAATTATAGAAAAGTTAATTTTTTTTTTGTAAAATATATTTTTAGGAGTCTTAATTTAATGTCACATATCAAAAACAAATATTTTTAATTAACTTAAAATTTTAATAAATATTAATAGAATTAATTAAATAGAAATTGTTGATATCATACTTTAATGTAAACGTGGATATCATTGGATATTTAAATTTTTTAAAACAAAATATATCAACAGATTCTTTTTTTTAAGTTGTAAAAATGTTAAGTTTATATTATATTAAATTTGTTGAAATTGTATGAATTCTTTTAGAAGTTACTTTCACTTCATTTCACTGCACATTTTTTTCAAATGTATAGTAAACGACTGTTTATTCCACTATTTTGAGCTCCTTATATATTTTTTATTTTTATCTATTACTATGTATTGATTATTTTTCATCAGTTATTAAAGAATATCTTTCTTCAAAATACTATTTAGAACAGTTGTAATTTTTTAAAATGAAAAACCAACCATAATGCATATCTAATTCAAAATAATTTCGTTTAATATGATAAATGATTGTTACTATTTATTAATTAAAAATATATATTTCTTATAAAACAATTAATATGATTGATTTCGCAGTAAAAAATTAATAAATCAATGGCAGTATAATACACCATTTATATGCTAGTAGTAATGAACTCAATGTAAAAGTTGTAAATTTTAAATTTCAAAAATTATTTTTATAGTTGAAAAGGATACATTTTTTACCGATGAAATAAAATAAATTTAATTAAATTAAGTAATCACTGTGATTAGGAAAATCAAAAGTCGATAAAAAAAAGTAAGCGACATTAATATTTCATAGTTTATGGAATGACGATATATTTTTTAAAATTATATCGGTTGTGTGATTAGCTAAATAAATGCGTTAATATTGACCTAATAATTAATTATTTTATTTTATTTCAATTTTTGATTCATAATTATGTGGAAATTATTAGATTCTTTATTACGTGGGTTTTTTGGATAGTATTGAGATTCAAAAATAATTAAATTGAAAGCTAGAAATTAATGAGTTTTCCATACATTTATAGTATCAAAAATGTATATTGGTTTTGAAAAAAATGATGAGTATTTGCAATGAAAAAAACATATATTTTTTATATACTTTTAATCTTTGTAATTTATATGTTATTTTAATATAAACAACTCGTTTAAATTCCTTAATTAATAATTTACGGGTATAATTTTAAAACGGTTTACGTCAGGTGTTTTTTCTTTTACTCGTATTTATAGTTAAAATAATTGTTTACTAATATAATTAATTTGATAATTCCATCGAAGTAATTGAATTAATTCAAAGCTACTTAATAAAAATAATTAATAATTAATATTTTTTACTATAACTTCAACTAAATATTATTATTCACTGTCTAATAGATGTTAAAACCATAGGTACTTAATTTTAAAAAAACAAACTGATAGCAATTTTGAGGTTATAATCATTAATAACAATTATTTTTCCTCTGTATAAACCACACATAACCTTTATAATCCTAAATAAACATTGCAATAAAATAGTTTGAACATGGTTCAATAAACATATCAAATAAAAAGTAAAATAAAAATAGATTTTACTTCGCATCATTGACAGTAAAGAGAACACATTGTATATGGCTTAATATATTTTTTAGTTTTTTTTGTAATAATAATGATATATTCATATATCGATTCGATATAATTTGTATTTTAAAACAATACTACTCCAAAAATGTGATTTATAAAATAATATACATAACGTTAATACATTACACGTACATATATATATATATATATATATATATATTTTATTTATTTTAAGAAATTTAATCTATTTATTTAGTACTCAAAATAATATGTGGAATTTTATAGATATAGAGATTTTTCGATTCGTAAATATATCTCCTGGGAAATTATGATGTAATTTTTACATTACCTAGAATAAGTAGTTTAAATTATGAAATGAATCATCACTGGTAATTTAAACTTTCGCAATCAAAATTTAAGTCGAAGGGGTGAAGAGGGTGTTGGATAACAACGATCTTTTGGTTAACTTATTAACGAAATTGTTTATTTCTATGGTTGAAATTCGGTTGATATCGATATGGAGGTAATTATAGTTTTTCATAAACAACACAATGCATAAAAATAAATGTTATATAATTAAATTCAATGATGATGCTTTTTATATACCAGCATTTATGTGTACTGATATATATTATCTATTGTAATTCTTCATCAAGTTTGTGATTTTAGCAACAATAGTGGAAACTATAGTTTATAGTTTCATAATTTCAATAAAATAGTTCTCAACATGCTTTACATATAATTACTAATCTAAAGTTTTAAACTGTATAATTAACTATTGTAATGAATTATTATTATAATTATATTTTTGTCAGTAAAAATAAAGTTCCAAATAATTTTACTTTTAACTATAGGTTACTATGAGTAACTATTTTTAACATATACTTATAAAGTGAAAATGTATGTGTATATTTTTTTTTGTTGGCAGAATAGAAAGTTACGTACTTAAATCTTTAAACAATGCTTTATTAGGGTAATAAATTCTTTATTGTACTTAAACTATACAAAAAATAAAAATCAACAAATATGAGTGAGCATAATAATCAATGAAAACGTATACGTCATACATGCCTAAGAAAGAAATTATATATATATGTTAATTTGCTCATATGAAATATTTAGTTTGCATAAGCTACGCTAAGTAAAGTTGTGTAAATAAATATATATTTATAATATAAATTAATTTATATTTTAATTGAATGGACTGACCGTCTAAATAAATAAATAATTTATTATTTAAGTAAACACTGATGAATCTCACCATTTTGACTTGTATTAAAAAAAACCTTTTATTCTGATAATATATAATTAAATAAAATAATAATTATAGACTTGTCATCAGATAATATTTAATCAAAAACAGTATTGTAAACGAATAAAGAAATTAAAATAATTATTAATATTTATTATTTACATGTGAAAATAAAATGCTTTATATATCTTAGATGTGTATTTAAATTCTAAAGTTAATAGTAGATGTAAATAATTTACTCATAATATATTATAATATTCAAAATTATAAATGCTTAAATTATTGAATTAATAAAAATAATTGACTACAGAAGCCTTCAATTATTCTTATTATTTTTTTTTTTTTTTTTTTTTTTTATTAAAATCTATATATGACATATTAACATTTTTTCATACGTATAACGTATAGTACCTTTTAAGGAAGTTTCATATTCGTTGTTATTTATGAATGAAGAACATGCTCATCCGTGTGTAGGAAATAATAAAAATAAAGAATGACCAAAATAGAAGAGCAAAGAAAACCATAAACACTATTCAATTTACTTACAGTCGTTTTTTCCAAACATCGAAGCAAATGATGATGTTGCAGTTCAAATATATCTTCTTCTCTGTAATTTTCATCAAGCTCTAGCCCAGATTCTTGAGCTGCCATCCTGGCTTCAGCAGCTTTCTTTTTGCTTACAAATGCGGCACCCGAGGAGGCCTTTGCTATCCTTATCCTAGCTAGTCTAGCTTTCTATAAAAAAAAAAAAAAAACATTTTATCATGATTAGTATAACAAGACAAACGTACAATTTATTTCAACAAGTCCTAAAAAAAAAATATTCTCACTAAGCTTATGTTATGATTGGTTGAAATTTGTACAGTTATATGATTAAAATAAAAATGTTAACACTCTCACATCCACACACATGTATGCAGACGAGATTTTCACTATACTCGTAATATTTCATATCCATACTCAAATGTAAATTTTTAATATTAATAATATTATAATTACTAATTTGGGTTACACAATACAAGTAAACTGTCTTATGCATAAGATAGTTTCATAAGTCTAACATTATCATAAGATAACCATTTTCTTTTTTAAATAAAAAAAATAAATAATGTTTAGAATTGAAAATTGAGAAAAAAACCTAAACATTTCCCTTCAAAATATTCCTGAATGAGAATAACGAGAATAGCTATTGGTTTTATAACTTTTTTCCAATAAAAAACACTTTCAGAAAAGTGAAATTAGTTCAAAACTTTGATTTAAGTATAAATTGGTTTTTCTGCATAAAAATGCTCATAGTTACTACGAAAAAAAATAATTTATCTTATATAAAATTAATATTAATTTATTCTCTATAATTTGTGTACATACATACATAAATATATTAAAAAATGAACGTTTTAGTCTTAAAATTTAGATATTGTTTAAACTTTTAAAGCAAATAAGTTAAGTTGTTTTTTCTACAACACTTCAAGTACCTAACCTAACCTAACCTAGCTGTGACATGCGCGTTGTATGCGATAAGAAAATGCATTGGTATAATGTGCAAAGTATTTTACATATTATTATATAAAATTATTAAATAAAATAATGTTATATATTATATATATATATTTACAATATAATGAAATAATTTACTCCAAGAGTTCTACAAATACTTTTTTTTCGAAAATAGTAAATTTTGTATAAAAAACGTGAAAATTAAATGGTTATACATAATTTATAGTAAATTTAAAAATAACTATATTTAAAATAGTGAGTATGGATTCATTTTTTTGAGACTTCGTTAACTGTAACATGAATATTATTTCAGAAAAGTGTTGTGACTTTACAATTATATAATGGACATTTTATAACTGCAAAATAATGGATTTTGGGCAATTAGTTTCAAATTATCTTAGGTTATTAATAAAATGAGGAAATTATTGATTTACCACATTTGTACAATGATTTTTCTTCTTTTCTTTTTTTCTATAAAAAATTTATTGAGTGGTTAAAATGTACATCGAAAGTTCTATAGCATTTCACTAGATCAAAAATAGGACTCGTAAAGTATTTTAAGCAGTAGTTTTCATTAGTTTTTCTAGTATGAAATAAAAATAAAAAATATGAAAAAAATGTTAAATTGCATTTAATGTTATTTTCTATTTTTATTAGACGTCTAGAACTTTTAATATTGTTTTCATCAGTGTTCAGGTAAAATAATTAAGTGAACACTTGATCACAAATAGTTTACCAAATTTAAATAATTCTATGAAAAATATTGATTTTTTTAAAATTCAATTTTTTATATTCACATAATTTTTTATGGGTATTCCATAATGTTTATCAGAACTCGTAGTATCTGATTACGATTATCAATTTTATAACTATGATCTGAGACTAATAAACATAAAAAAAAAAAGTAATGAATATTACATTTAAATTAATTTAGTATTGCATTAATAAATAAAAGTGATAACTTACTCTTTGAGCTTTTCTTTTATCTGCTCGCTGATTTTGATGATAAATGCGACTGAAATTAGATACAATTACTGGCACAGGTAATGCAATGACAAGAACTCCACTTAGTGAACACACTCCTCCGACAATTTTTCCTGCTATTGTTTCTGGTACCATGTCACCGTATCTATAAAAATAAACGCAAAAGTTTTAATTGAATTGAATTTACAAAACGAAAACGTTTACTTAAATAATTAAATTAACTATTAAAACTAGAATTATACTAATTTTTATAAACGTGATTGAAGTAAATATTGTACCATAATCAATATAATATGCTGTATAAATAAAAAAAGTGATAACAATTTTAAAATTATGAATTGTACGCTTATACAGAATAATAAATGATAAAGTAGTTATATTTAGACAATGACTTATATTAGCTGTAGTTTCTAGAAAAAAAATGTGTTACAGTCAGAGGAGAGTTTTGAAAGAACCAGTTATTAAATTATATCTAATCTAAAAAAATATCCATCTATAAAATTAAGATTCATAATCTTAATGGCCAAATAATAAATTAAAACAAAAAGAATAATAAAATAATTTTACTACTATATTTTGTATTTGACTAAAAAAAATTATTTTTGAAAAACAATTTTGTTTTCTCAATTCATGATTTATTTGTTTTTTTGAAACTGAAAAAAAAAGTTTGAGTACCTACTGTTTATTGTTATTGTTATGTGTTTTCTGCAAATATTTACAGTATGCATACTAATATTGAATTAAATTATAATTATTTTGAATGTATCACAGTTACTTTCAATTGCAGGTAGTAAAACAGTTTTCTTATAATTTTAATATTAAAATAAATCTGTCCCCACTCTATTATCTCTAAAGAAAAATAATCAAACCACCGTAAAGAATTCCAAGATCATTAAAATAATTTCATGGATAAAATGAGGATAAGCTAAATAGGAGATTTAAATGATTTAGATAGATAAATTATTCTTTGGTATTAGAGTCTTTTGAAGGGTTTTGTATAACTTTTGTCTTTTGTATGAAGGCATTTCATAGTAAATATAAGATTATTAATTTTATTATAGTGTATTATTTTTATTAAAAGCGTAACCAGCGTATACTTTTTTTGGTAACACACATGTCATTTATTAAAAACATTCAAAATTAATTTAATATTTTAGTTTTATAAAAGCTGGTTCAAGAATTACAGGATAATCTATAAGTGATTCATTTATTTATATACGAAACGTGTGTGCATGATGTATAGTGAAGAAACATTTCCATTAACATAATCGTATATCACGTTAGAATGGCACAAAATACGGCATTACATTATTAACCTTTTGTCCGTTTGTGAACAATAATAAATTATGTACTTGTATGTCACATAAATATATATATATATATATATATATATTATATGCATAAAGCTTGTTTTGTAATAATCACGAAAACCTCCACCTCACATTTAGATATTCCCTTTAATAAGCAAGACTGAAAATAATATCGTCCACGGTACCTAGTACCTATATACGCGCTAAATCCGTTTTCCGTGTCACTTGTATATTATCATTTTACGCAGCAGAATACAGTAAGGATTTGATAAAAAAAATTGAGCATAAACTGGTAAAGTATGCCAAATTTTAAAATTTTTCGTCACTAGATTACACATAATTAATAATTCTTTACGAGATTCATGATTGTATAACAATATTTTGTATTTAAAATTTTCTCGTCATTCTTAAGGAAACATGAGTGATTTTGGTTTTAATCTGTTACTGATAATCGTACTAAAAAATAGAGTAGTATTATCTTTATAGCCACTTACATTTATGTTAACGTTATTTAAGTATAATTTTTTCGATAGAAATTATATAATATACAAAACTTTAAATAAATAAACGGCCAACAAATTGTGCGATATTTCACAATTCAACTGTATTTGCTTAGTAAGTATTAGAAATTTTGTTTTTTTTAATTATTTTTTATTTTATTCTAACTCAAAATTAAAATCCGTTTATGATGATAAATTAAAGTTATATAATTTTTGATAATATTTGAATATTATTTTTTATAATTTTATTAATTAATTTATTAATATTATAAATTATTTTTATGTATTTACCATAGTATGATAGTAAAATACTTTAATGCTTTTAATAAATAGTATATACGAGTTTACAGAATTATACCATCGTGATGGTAAGATGCATCATTGTACATTTTATAAATACTTGCAAGAATACGTGCGTATAGAAGTGATTAGTATTTTAATATTTTTACACATACTTCATCTAAAGACCATATTTTGTCTCTATTTAAATAATTTAAAAAATGTTGGTCAATATTTTTGTATCCGTTTATTTTCATGAAATACATGATATTTAATTTAATTAATATATTGTTTTAAGAATACATAAATCAAAAGAAAAATTAAATATATATATAGAAAACTACCTATAAATAAGAACTATCCTCATTAGACTCTATTTTTTATATTTTTCAGTGAATTTATTGTTTAACATTGTGATGTTATATATTTTAAAACATTGTTTATATTTAATTTTTATCTATACTCTATACTTTTAGTCAAAAATATTAGCTCAAATTATTATCATCTTGGAATTTAATAATTAAAATGATAATTGAATTTTACTCAATAGAAATTATTTAGTGGTATAGTATTTCATTTTTAATGACATTAATATATTATTAGTATGTATTTTTATGAAATTTTAAGATATATAATATGTATGTCAAAATTAGAGAATTATGCAGAAAGGATAACAATCCTCCACTAGTATAATAATAGTAATAGAAATAATGTTATAGACTTATGACTAGAGTTAAAATATTGATGACTTGTAATTTTTTTCCTTTGATTCTATACAATGCTATCTTAGCTAAAAATTTGTTTCATGCTCCCTTGATGCAGAATATTCTAATTTAATTTTGCATTTTTTTTGTTATATTTTAGGTATTTTCTAGCTATAAAACCTTCTTTTATTATTCTTAACGTCATTTTTTCATATTTTAGGTTATTTTTTGTAGTTTTTGTACAATGTGGGGGGCATTTTTCATAAAATTTAGATTTTAAAGAAAATTTGTATTACATTCATATAAACATAATTTTAATATTATTATTGTGGAGTTTATTTATAATATATATTTTTTTTTTATTTATATTTTACTTTTTAATTTATTTTTAATAATTTTATTTAATGCTTAAAATCTAAATGTATACCTACTATTGTTTATTAATATTATTATTGATATTTTAAATTATGATTAGATACACCCATTATCACACCCATATCTCAAAAAAAAAAATTATTATTTATAAATACATTTTTTTTCACTTATTTAATTAGATTTATTTTATTAGATTTATTTAGATAATTTTTGCCTTTTTTTAGGGCATTTTTCATTTTTTTTTAGAGCATTTTTTGTGTGTATTTTAGGTCATCAACATCCAAACTCTATTTATGACCAAAAATCTTCTGTGGTAGGGCTACCGACCAGGAAATTTATCAGTTTATTAATTATTTTAAGTAGGCCATGTGGCTAAATTATTCTAAGTTTGCGAATATTTCCAGGCAAGATAATTATTTGATAAATTGATTGCTAGGAGAATTACATTTTTACAGAATTTAGACTTAAGAGCAATGTGATTTTGTTGATTCATTAAGGGTATGTATTTTCTAGTCTTTATGGAAATTTCTTTTTTTCTTTTATATCATGGAGAAAACTTAATTTTTGTTGGCATATCCATTGGGTTTTAGTATTTGAAAGCATTGTCACAGCCCAGATTCCATAAGCCAAAACAGTTATGATTATTCAATTATTTATGGTGAATTTATTGGTTAAAGAGATTTCAGATTTCGATACTGATTTAGAAGGTGTAAACTGGGGTGTACTGTTTTTGACTAAACTTAAGCATAGATCTTGAATAGACGTTTGTCTAGGGATAGCCCAAGTTATTTAACTAAATTTGTTATTAGTATTTGATTATTAAATATGAACGAGAATTAGTGAATCTTACATAAAAATTAAATTATTGAAATTCCAATGGATGATATCCATGAACATAGTTTACAATATAATACATAGTAACAAAGACAACACATAATTCAACGGTGAACTTTCATTTAGTATTTACAGTCATACTTCAGTTACATTAAATGCATTATTTAATATTTAGGTATTAACATTATAAGCAGCAAACATTGATTGGAGGGTAATTACTTAAAGTATAAGTTAAATACAGTAGAATCCGTTAAGATGCTCTCGCTTAATACGATTTTCTGAGTAATACGCTCATTTTCACGAGTCCCTTGGTTTTGAAAGCGGTTAACATGTAAATGATTCTGGATAATACTCTTTGCATTCTCGGATAAGACGCTCTATGTCAGTTATGTTATATGGTATAAAATTAATAATCACTATATGAAATCAATGATGATTTTCAAGATTTAGAAGAGTGTCCTGAATATGCAGAAATTGATGATAATATCGCTACAAGTAGCCTTAAAAGTATTGATCAGATAATTACTGATAACTTTTCATCTGCTGATGTCAGTACAATAGTGAAAGAAAGTGAAGAGGAGAAAGAGGATGATTCTCCCCGTAACAAATGCTCTTGATTATAAACCCGAACTAAGACGATTAATTTCATCTTTCGACAATGCAGATGAAACATTATAAAATCTCAATAAATTTGAAAACTTCCTATATTAAAAAAGTACTAATAATTCAAAACAAACAAAAATTAATAATTTTTTTTAATGCAAGTATCTATGTGATTTGTAGGTATGTGTAAATGTAAATTTTAAGATAATATGCAATTTGGAAAAATAAAAATAAAATTTAATAATAAGTATATACTCGTATGTATTAGTATACTTGCAATAATAATACAATATGAATGCAATTATAGTAAAAAATTCATAATTTTATGTACAATTTGTATTTGTCAATTTTCTGGTTTCCCGCATAATACGATTTCTCGTATTATGTATGTTTTTTTTTTACCTGGTTCCTTGAAAAGCGACTTAAACGAATTCTACTGTAATTAAAGTCCCGGTTTTATTAACTGTGTATGTATGCGTGTATGTGTTTTCATTTATTTGTTATATTATTATGGAAAGGTAGTAAATCTACATAGAACTAATTGTTAATAGTTAGTAGTAATATTATAAAGTTTGGTAAATTAATCCGAAAAAATTTAATAAAATAAAATATTTACTAACAATAAGTTGACAAAATGTTAACGTACCAAAGATTGTGTGCACTTGAGTTTAAAAGGTGAATAAATTAAACAAATGTATAGTGTTTATTAAATATCAATATTTAATAATTTATCAATATTTTTCTTTCCAATTGTAGAAATATTGATAAAGAATCAAATAGATTTAAAATCTTATATTATGAAAATGTCTAATGTTATGATTTGTAAAAGTTTTAGGTCGTACTAAAGAGTGTACACATGTCATAAATACGTAAGGTCACAATTTGGGCGTGTTTCATTATGGGGATACCGATTATCTATGTTAGACACTAATAAAATAAAGGGTGTCGACCATAATACACCTAACTATTATATTATATTAATTATTATGTCTACAGCGTTAAAAGTTTGTATAACACAAATGTGTGTTTAAGTACTACTGCGTATAACTTACCGCTAATGACTTAAATAAATAAATATTTTTTTTACAAAATAAACTCATTAAAAATAAAAATAAAATTAATTAAAGACTTATTATGTGCGCTTATTGGAAATGACAGCTCGTTATGACAAAAAAGTATAATATTTAATAGACGGTGAATTTATTCACCCCTCTCTTTTCACCTAGTAGCTTGATTGACGTCCCAATGAGTCTCCAACAAAAACATTTAAATACGAATTTATGTATTCCTTATTTTTCTTTTATATTATTATTAAATGTAAGAAGACGATGTTGAATAACATGATAATAATAATTAATTTTCTGTATAATTGATTGTGAAAGTAATAATGGTACTATATTCTGTAAATTAAAACTTAAACTTCATATAGAATATTGCCAGTTCCTCGAATTTTCGAAAGAAAAGTTCTTTATTATCAAGACAGTTTTTTTTTAATTAGATTTAATATAGGTAATATATGATTAAAATATTTAAAATTTATATAACAATGAGAATATTTAAGAAATATGCATTAAGATATATATTATTGAGATATAAAGTACTTTCTTTTACATAATTTTAATTTTTTTTTTTTTTTGATGATATTATTTGATAATATAGACTATGTATAGATCTATACCTAGTCTACAAATATCAAGTAATATTATTAAAAAAAAACTATAACATGATTTAGTTATACAATTAATTCTCTATAGAATACTATTCCAACATTTATGAATTTCTCATTTTATTTGATAATATATACTTTAGCAAATAAAATGAGGAATTCATAAATGTTGGAATAGTATTCTATAGAGAATTAATTGTATAACTAAATCATGTTATAGACCCTTTCGGAGTGTACCATTTTCGATATTCTCTATTTAATAAAATTAATAGTACTGATATTGAATTTAATTGAAAGTGAAAAAAAAATTATGCTTCAATACATGTCTTCGTGGTCTGTGGAAACAACTTTAGTGTAACCACTAAGACTTCATATATACTCTTGTGATTGTTAACTTGTTAAATAAATATTAACCTACAATGTTTATGCATAATTAATTTTAAAATTTCATAACTTATATTTAACTCTATAACGGTGTAATATAAACAGAAGGAGTTGGCAAGCGAAAAGTTAAATCTTCTTGCGGTATTTTTTTTATAATTACATTATTATAGAACCTTTCGTTGTGTATAGCATATATTTTAATAATTTTATGATGAATTGGATTCCATGAAAAATCACAATCTTGTTTATGTATTTATTTTGATATATGCTTTTTATTTAAAATATTATAGACATTTATGTTTCTTTTTTTTAAGATTTTATTTAAAAAAAATTAAGTAATTACAAATGTCAACCCTTTGCGCTTAACGAAATTCTGTAACATTGCTAATGTGCAATTTTAAGTTTTTTTTTTTTAAGTTGATAGTCACGTCACGTTATTTAGAAATTGCCGTCAAAGACCTATTAAAAGTGCAATGTAAATAAAAAAATAAAAATACAAGGCTTTAATATTTTAAATCCCTATAATGTTTTATGTAAACAATTCATACTATAATACATTGTATATTGGGTTTGGTATATAAAATTTTGTATGTATTATTGGATCTATAACGGTAT